AGCATTTTCTGACGAAAATGCGAGATTTCATCATCACTTTGAACTCCCTAATGAGAAAAGCATCTACGTATTATATGTTCTACGAAGCCAATTAACTGGCATAATCTCTTATCCTTTGGTAGGCCAACCACTCCTGAGTCGTGTAAATGCGTAGTGCTAAAGCACTGATATGATCACCTCAACTCTATCTACTTATAACAGAGGTGGAGCAGGTGATTATGAGTTGTCTCATGAATGCACATCAGAAGTCAAGTGATGACAAAATTGTTATTGCATTAAGCTCAGGTCTTGATGGCTCGTTAAGTATCGCGCTGCTCATAGTTACCGATTCCATGTTGTTCTTTGATGTGAACCCTTCTGCTCAATTGCATTGTCCAAACACATCCTTTGCTTCCCTTTTGGACAGCCCACCTGGCTCGGCTATGAGTATCTGCACTGGCATCGCACTCTAACCGGTGTCAAAGTGACACCCTATTACCGTTATTGGCGTTTGATCTGACTCTCTTCAAATGGGAAAGTTACCATCTAAATATTCCCTTGTATATTTTTCTGCTGATTGGGAAAAGTCTTCCGGAAGTTGGCGCTGTTGGAAAATAATCTTGAACTTGGCTATGCACGCCTGTCATCCTTGAAACACGCCACTCTAGTAGTGTGACAGCCATCACGATATCACCGGACATCTTCGAATCGCCGGCATGATAGTCGACTACTGAGCGACTTAACGCTGCAATGCGCTTGAAGTCTTTTTTGACGTCCTCTGATTTCACGTCATGGTTGAATAGAACCTGTACCATCAACCACACCCTATTCTGGGCGCTCCCTATCACTTGTCTCTAAAGCTAATTAATGGTATCCAAATTGACCCGTGACAGTTGGCCCAGTTGCTAAGACTACTAATGCATATTGTTGGGCGGAGTGACATTATGGTGTCATCGACCTTCAAACGAAGCAGGAGGAAAGAATAATTCGTCGAGTCCGCTACATTGGCAGTTGTTTATCCCGCTCCGTCATCTTCATTGTTATTCAGGTACACAGATGGAAGTCGGTCAGAGGAAAGCTGGTAAGAGAGAATGGGGGCCTAAAGAAGAAGACAGTGGATGTCTTCATTTTTCATTCCATTCATTTTCTCACCCCTTTGCCTTAGTTTTTTCCTCCGTACCCAATTTTTCCTTTATTCTAATGCTTGACACTAATAATTTTTCCTCTTAACTCGTAATTATGATAACGATAGTTATGACCCTAGAGGTCGGGTCCATCAGTTTTAGTGGTCCAGGGAAGAGCCGGTAGTGATTGGATTGCGTTAGCGCGTCTTCCAATGCCATCCCGGCCCTCTCTTGACTGAGTGTGAGTGTTGACATAACTAATGCTGGTTTCCTTCCTTTCAGAGTAAACCGTTACCCACCTTAAAAGACAACGACTTTATGAATGACATCTGTGAATTGCATCTGGAGGAGTCGGCAAAAGAACGGTTGCTGGAACACCTCGAACGTGATATTGCGGTACGCTCATGATTAGGTTCCTACGAGCTTTTTCCCCCGAATGGTTTTGATCCTCTTCTTTCTTGTATCTTTGCAATGAGGCATCATCTGCAACACTCCTACGACATCTTACCAACCTGTCACTCTTCCCTGATTGGTGCAATTTATTGCATAACGCCATTACAAAACTTGACCCAAAAGTGTCGATGTCCTAACTAAGCATCTGCGTCTTTGACGTCACAGAAACGTCTATTGCTTGATCAGATTACGATGTGAAATCTCCACCAATTCCATCATATTCTCTCTGCTACGCTGAATTGGGTGTGCCTTGTGGAAATCTATGCACTACGTGTGAACCAGACTGTCAGAACTGTTTTCTATTCTCCCTTCCCATCGTTCCTAAATGTTGGTTTAATTGAATCGGTTTTTCCATGCAATTCTCACAAGTGTGACATTTTCACCAATTTAGGGGAGTATTTAGTGAAGATGAAGTGGCCATTCGAGTGATATATTTTTGACCAAAAGGGTCCGCGCGCGCGTACCTACCACAGAGTTGTAGATTTGACTGAAATTGTGCAAAAATTAGCGTTGAGAGATGATACGGTGCTTTTAGCGCAATTCCCTAGCCTTAAGGCGGTATTGATGCTGTTGCAAAGATTGTCGCGACTTGGTGTTATCAAGATTGGACATCGCATAAATTTCGCTGTCACTATTTAAATGGCACTTCTCTTTCCACCTTGTCACAGCAAGTGTCGTAACTTTTGGTGGGAAGCTATCATCTACAATTAGGTAGAGGATGCGTTGATTCGCAGTTCTATATCCGTGATTTCTCACGTGAAAATTGTTTCGGCTATTCTAGTTTTTACTTAAAATTATGTCTTTTCAGTTGAGTCATAAACATGTGTCTTGTACTCACTACAGTTTTTGCAGGAAAACAATCTAATGGACTACAGCGCTCTCATTGGTATCCACGATGTGGAATTGGCTGTTGACAATGACCCGGAGGAGGGCTCTGGCACTGGTGTCGGCTTTTTTACCTCTGCGTCTCCCATCACCATGGAGATGGGCTCTAGTGCCACTGCTGGTAGCGTCGGCGTGGTGGGCGTAGGGGGACACCGAGGCTCCGGTCCTGAAATGCTCGCCTCAGCTGGTGATGGTCTGGGCGAGGTTTTTGAAGAGCGTCTTTTTGGTCCTAATCACTCTGCTGCCTCTTTCATCCCTTCCTCTTTCCCCATGAGCTCTTTCACTCATCCTGGCGGCGGTGGTGGTGGCAGTGTTGGCATAGGCAGTGAACCCTTCTCGGATTTTAGTCCACCGAATTCGGAGAATTTTGACACTTTGGTGGCTGGTGGCAGTGCGGAGGAGGGTTAGTTGGCCTCAGCTTTCGTTTTTGTTACTTTGGGGGTATTAATGGCTCCTCCCTCTTTCGTTAAGGCACCTACACACCACCGGAGAGCCCTGACGATACTTCGCATCGTTTCCAACCATACACAGGAGATTTGAATCCTATTAGCGAGTTCTACGCTTTCAAGGGATCACCGTGTGAGTTTGCGTCTCATTTGTACGTTTGGACGAATAAACACTTGCCACTCTTAATAAATGTGATATATGCGCACCTAATCTTTGACATGATCTTAACGGCGAAACTTGAATGCGTTTTGGCATTTAGCTTTCAGAAAGCCAAAGTCTGCCAAAATTGATTTGTAGGCACAAAAGAAATGCGCATTGTTTAGGAAAAGGAATAACATATTTTTTTAAATAGTTCTTCATTAAAGCCTCGCAAAAAAGGAGGCCAACAATTGCGCAGCTGTCTGAGAAGACTTGTCGTCTTCCTCCACCGACACTTTCTATCCACCTATCGTGCTATATGTGAACAATCTTTTTAGATCTTGCCCCGCTTTAAAAGAAATTTGCTGAATGTCACCCCAAATAGCCGTAAAATTTGCCTTTGAGGGGCTGACAAATGACGCATATCAAGGGCAAGATTGCATACATTTGATAAATTGTGCAATTTAAAAGCCCTTCAACTCACCATGCAGGGAAACGAGGAAGAGAGATCCCTGTGGTTGCATAAGTGCATACTTCTAAGAATTTCATTTGTCTAAATGCTCCTGTCTTGCTTAGAACAGAATTGCGTAGGAAGATTTGAATCTGGTAAAAATTAAGGAAGGGTTTGTTGCCCACAGTGGTAGCAAAGTGGGTGTGGATATCCATACCCATAAGAGGGCGATTTCGCATGATCTACTTTTGGCGGCGCAAAGCACTACACCATCACCGTTGGTCAGTGAGTCACTGCCTCATAGATCACACTTTGGAACTTCTTTCG